TGACTAGTTAATTTAAGGGACTTGAAAGTCTCCTGGTTCGATCCAAGCGTTCACAGGTTCCCAAGTTCAAGTGACTGTACAAATCAACATATCGAATCAAAACACCTTTCGACTGACTATCCAGAAGCAATCACTGACTAAGATTTGTGGCTGTGTTACTCAAGTAGATGTTCCATGGGCTCTGTGATCCCATAATTCTTTTTTCTTTTTTAGGTACCATAAGAAGAAATAACCTTCCATGGTGTGTGCAGCCGGGAAGTGTCAACCACCCACACGCCTCCAGTAGTACACAAGACTCAATCAAGTATAACCTATCCTCCTCAACTCTGTCTCCTTTGCCTTCACCTCCTGATACTAATATTAAGCCTCTTGCGCCTTAGTCAACCTCTCACTCTGCAACCACTGCCAATGATCAAAGCCATCGATACCTCTGTCCTAGTCTACTAAGATCCCGTCATCGATTTCATGTAGGAGCTCTCAACCTCCGAACTCTATGCTAAATCGAAAAGCAAGCATCGCTCGCCAAAACTCTGGAATCTCTAACCACGGATATATGCTGCTTATCTGAAACTCGTATACAGAACCCGAGTGTGCTTATTAAATTGATCTCACCTGACCAGTGATGTGAGTCTTCAAAATTCACCTTACGAGTATCCAAAGACCCAGTGGCTAGCTCTCGTGGACTTGCTGTTGTAGGCATAGCATTGAGTTATAGAGCAGAAAGTGCGCTTCTTAACTACATATCAGTAAACAGCCGTCTATTTGCTGTGCAACTGAATGGGTCTGTAAGAACTAGGAAGGATCGTGAGATTAGGCGATGCCTATTCGTAATCTTCGCCTACGCACTTACTGACTATAGTCTGGATGATGAAAAAGATGAATTCTATGAGAAGCTGTCAACTTTGCTGCAGAAAGCAAAACCTTCAGATGTAGTCATAATGGCGGGTGATTTTAACGCTCAAATGGGGATGCCGAGCCAATCAGAGAGGCCCTATGAAATTCTCTGCGTAATCCCATGCCAGAGAACCGACAGCAGTGATCGTCCGTTGTAATTTTGCTTCAACAATCACTTGTGTCTGGCCAGCACTAACTTTAGGAGAGACATAGTCTCACATAGTGTCCGCCGACTTCAAACCAAAAATGAACACAGGTAAATCACATTCCTATAAGCTATCTTTGGAGAGGATAGGTGGAGGATTGCTGCTATTTCTGGAGTACCTGTTTGGACTCCGATCACGCCTTAGTACAGGCTGGTGTATGTTTGCACCTTACTGGTCTCAGGAAACAGGGGGTAGCAAAGCTTGCCAATAGTCGATTGGCTTATGAGGGGCTCAAGTCTGCATGTAGGGAAGGGTTAGCTAAGTATTTATCTGGACGTGACACCGATGCTCATCTTGAGGAAATTTGGAGTGATATTAAATCTGCTGTAGAAACAGCGGTAAAGACGATTGGTAACCTACACCCGAAGGTTATCAAACGTCGTTGGATTTCCTCAACGTCATCTGAAGTCACTGATGTGAGAAGAATGATTCTAGCGGGCTGTAACCACAAGGAACGGTGAAAGCAACTTAAAGGTAAATTGAATAAGTCTTCCGAATGATCACGAATAGTGGTGGGTGGCGAAGGCGAGAGAGATGGAGAAGGCATCAGCGTTGGGTAACACCCGGCCATTATTTATACTTATTGGAGAGACCTGTAAGAAGAGGACGATGGTGAGTGAAACCATCACCAAAAAGTATGGAACACTGATAACCTCCCACGACAGGCAGCTAGAACTTTGGGCGGAATACTGCAGCACAGATCAACCCTCCTATAGCAGCTCTTTAGTTGTTCAGCATCCATGCGGAACATGAATGGCACATAGATGTCAGTTCACAAACTCTCCCTGAAGTTGAGGAGGCTATATAGAACCTGCAACGATCCAAAGCAGCACGACCTGACAGTTTGACACCTGACGTTTTCAAGGATAGAAGTGGAAAACTTCTGCTTAGAGTGACAGAGGTACTAGGTGGTGTAGGGGAATTAGAGGGAGTCCCGTCAGACTGGTCTAATTCTCTGACCACCCCAGTCCGCCTGTGACTAACATAGGGGGATTAGTTTGACTGAGATCCTAGGGTTCATAGTTATCCGATGCCTAAGTGGAGCTCGAGAACAGTAAACTTGAGAAAACTAGGGAAGTTCCAGACACGAGGTTGCGTCGATCATATTTTCACCCTACGACAGGTTCTGGGAGGCAAGCATACTTACCAACCAGTGATCGACACTTGCTAAATACCTTGACTTGAAAGCAAAATTTGACTCTGTCGACAGTGAGGTGTTGTGGCAGCGTCTGACCGTGAAGAGAGAACAGAGTACGTATATAATGCTTAGTATAGTTCTCTACTCGAACTGATGCAGCTGTGTAAGGGTTTATGGTTAGCAGTCACCTGAATTGACCACAACTAGCGGTGTCCGTCAGGGATGTCCACTGTTACCGTCCCTATTTAATTTCGTCATAGATGCAGTGATGCACGTAATCATAGGTACGTCTGACTAAGTACGTCACTACTCCATGAAGGTCATCTGGCTGAGTTGGAGTATATGGATAATATTGCCTCCTAAATGAAGACGCTGACAAAATGCAGTCTTTTGAACACTTTGAACGGATATCTGATGTCGTTTTGCTAGTACGTGCATCGCGCTTGTCAGAAGTAAGATGATGCTCAAGGAATGGTTTGCAACTACTCCCAGTCTAATGATAGGGAGTGAGGTGGTGTGATGAGCAAAAAACCTTCACTCACTTGGGAGTTGCATCACCCCAAACTCGGCGGTTACTGACGAGATCTCAGCTCGGGTACAGAAGGCTCGTTCGGCATTTGCCAACTTGCCTCATTTAAATCGCCGCACAGCGAGATACCTAACTATCTATCGAACGACGAGTGCAGTCCGTTCTGTCCTGTTATACGACTGAAACATGGCCGGTAGAAGCAGCGAACATGAAGCGACTGCAGTGCTTTGATCATAGACTTTTTCATAGCATCGCCCGCGCTTGGTGAGATCGCCGTGTGAGCAATGTTGAGGTCAAGCAAAGGATACTAGGCAAGACAGGGAAGTCGAGTAATGAGGTTCTGAATCTTAGTCAACTTAGATGGCTTGGATATGTACTGCGCATGCCGAGTCGCCACTTTCCTCGACGTGCCATGTTACGGAAAGCTGGATTAGGTATGAAAAGGGTTCATCGTGGGCAGACTAAGACGTGACGCTATTGCATGAAGTCCTTGACTGTTGGTTTGAGTTGTGTAAGTAAACGTAGACTGTCTGAATGGGGTCCCGGAGACTCCATGAGTCAGTGGTTGAGGACTCATGGTGACGTGGTTGGAAATCGGTCACAATGGTGCAGATGTATTCACTCCTTGACGTCTTCTAATGCTTGAATATTTGCGCTAACCGCTATCTTCCAATTGTCTATTCTTTCACACAACTTTGTCTTCCTTGATATCACTTTCTCTATCCATCTGTTCTTTGTATACTCCTGTGTAGTGTTGCAACTTGAGCCAATGGACTTGCGTGTGAGGTTCCACGTTGACTTTATCTGTCTGTCTCTCTAGCTACTCCGGTTAACTAGACAGCGTGAAAAATCAGCGTAGCCTAACCCAGTTCAATAGAGTGAATGCTTGACAGTGTACCTTCAACCAGGTCAACTAACTACAGCCGATATAATCAGCGTAAAACAGACTCATTATGGAAAGCCATTTACCGATGAAAATACGCATGCTACACAAATGATGCATTGTGAGCAGGCTAATGAATAACGCTGCTTCCTAACTGATGGATGCTAGGTTGAAGTTCCGATAAGAAAAACACTCACGGACAGGAACGTACCATACCTTATCATCATACGGTTTCAGAAGCCTAGTTCATACATAACGCTTAAGATTACTGGTCGTCATCAACGTTCTAAGTATGAAACTTATTATAATCATGTATCATGTACTTCATTTATCATCAGCTTAGAGGAGCAAATAGTTACGTGCACCAATAAACCTGCAACGTTTTGCAACTAAATTGCAGACACCTAGCAATTCTGCCATCGTTTTCCACAGAAATCGAAACGGTCGGGAATTAAGATGCACTAAGCACCGTAAATGTCATACGCTGTTTTTAGTGGCAGGAGCACGTTATCAAGAGTCTAAGGATTGTTGGATTTAAACGAGACACAAAAACACTGTGCAGAGCCTCCCATCTGCGTAACCTGGGTTAGTTTGGCGAGGCTGACAAAACCTGAGAAACCCAGAGACACCACTCATATTCTTGACCAAGTTGCACACACAAACGTGTGACGGCTGTTATTTTGAACAAGCCCTGAGTGTCGAATCTCCTTCTAAAGTCGGTACTGTCCCGACAAGCACAACCAGCATGTATAGGTGAAAAGCTCCTAACACACCTGCTTGTAGACCAAGCCATAGCCAGACGCGTTCACTGATACGCGGTCACAATGCACAATTTTGTGACTAGCGACTGTTCGGACATAAGTGGGACGATGGCTCCCAAGTATCATGTCTCACGCTCAGCCGGTGTTCACGACACATGCTAATCTAGGCTGGAAAAAAAGATTGCCAGATATCTACTACAGGTCGTCCAAGTCACTAGACAACAGCCCATGTAATAAATACCGCTCAGCAACAGCACCGGTTATGTAAACTAGAAGAGCGACAAGCAGGAGCGCTAGGCTATCCCCGACTTCGTCTTGGAACGCATTGTCGTCTCGAGACATTTATTGCAAGCTTCCACCGCTACTCAACCGACACAACTATAATGCATGGTATTTAGTGTAATACCTACTCCATGCACGCCACCGGTGAAGTGACTAACTTCCACACATCGTACGCCTAAGAAAGGTGTAAGGGTGAGTAGTTGCCTTTGGTTTTAAAAAGGAACTGCTGCTGAACATTACACAGGCTTGGATAGACTTGCGTAGATCCCATACAGAAGCCACCCATCTGGTAGAACACAAAACAGTTAGTGTGAAAATTTTATTAAGATAAAGTAACAACGAGGCATGACACAAAGTGAAAGGATCTTAGTACTCCTCTCCTTCACCCTCACCTTCTCCATCAACACTGTCAACACCAACTTCTTCATAGTCTTTCTCCAGTGCAGCCAAATCCTCACGTGCCTCAGAAAATTCACCTTCTTCCATACCTTCACCAACATACCAATGCACAAATGCACGCTTGGCATACATCAAGTCAAACTTATGATCCAAACGAGCCCAGGCTTCGGCTATCGCAGTTGTGTTACTCAACATGCACACAGCGCGCTGCACCTTTGCCAAGTCACCACCAGGAACAACTGTCGGTGGTTGGTAGTTAATACCGACCTTAAAACCTGTGGGACACCAGTCTACAAACTGGATAGTGCGCTTTGTTTTGATGGTTGCAATTGCTGCATTTACATCCTTGGGGACCACATCCCCACGATACAACATACAACAAGCCATGTACTTCCCATGACGAGGGTCGCACTTCACCATTTGGTTGGCTGGCTCAAAACAGGCATTTGTTATCTCTGCAACACTCAACTGTTCATGATACGCCTTTTCAGCTGAGATTACAGGTGCATAAGTAGCCAAAGGAAAATGGATACGCGGATAGGGGACTAAATTTGTCTGGAATTCTGTCAAATCCACGTTCAAAGCACCGTCGAAACGCAGTGATGCTGTGATGGAACTTACTATTTGCCCAATCAATCGATTTAGGTTTGTGTAAGTCGGACGCTCAATATCCAAATTGCGTCTAAGTAAAACATGAATAGGCGTTAACAACAACTTACCGGCAAATATCGTATATGGCTTCGTTGTCCACCATAAACGCGCAGTCGGAATGCTCTAGAGTAGTATGCGTTGTCAGAATGGAGTTGTATGGTTCAACAACAGCCGTTGCTATCTGAGGTGCAGGGTACACAGCAAACTCCAACTTTGATTTCTTACCATAGTCAACACTCAAACGCTCCATTAAGAGGGACGTGAACCCTGAGCCCGTGCCTCCGCCAAATGAGTGGAAAATCAGGAAACCTTGAAGCCCCGTGCACTGGTCAGCTAGTTTACGAATACGATCCAAAACCAAGTCCACTATTTCTTTCCCAATCGTGTAGTGACCCCGAGCATAGTTATTAGCCGCATCCTCCTTACCAGTTATCAACTGTTCCGGATGAAACAGTTGGCGATAAGTGCCAGTTCGCACTTCATCCACCACCGTCGGCTCCAGATCAACGAACACTGCTCTTGGAACATGTTTTCCGGCACCTGTCTCGCTAAAGAAGGTGTTGAATGAGTCATCTCCTCCTCCAATGGTCTTATCACTTGGCATTTGTCCGTCGGGCTGGATACCATGTTCCAGACAATATAATTCCCAGCATGCATTCCCCATTTGCACACCAGCTTGGCCAACATGTACACTGATACATTCACGCTGTAATTCAAAGAATATTTGGCGGCAAGGAACTACTTACCATTTTCAGTGGGTTCTACAAGTTACAGCAACGTACGGAAGCCGCCAAAAATCCAGAATGAACAGAATAATATGGCTGCCTAACTTCTTTATATAGATCGATGACTAACGGTCCGACAAACTCTATTGGTTAATATTGAGCTGCGGTGATTGGTCAATTCGCAGCATTTTTTCTAGAAATTACTATGCCTTTATCTGGTCAGACTGTTTAATCTACAAATGAGGCTGAAATTTAGTTTTTTGCCTAAAGCATGCTTTCTTTGGTTAACTATTGCCTGTTATGGCAATGATTTCGTTTGCTGTAAGCGTCACCAAACAATTCTTACCAGACACAGTTTTCTTGGGAACACATTTTCTGATCTTCATGAAAATGCTTACCGAGGCATCACCTGGCAAACTGGTAATGTATTTAACTTAATCATTTTGTTTTAGAAATTGTAAGATTTGTATTTTGATGACTATAAATCGTAACCACAAGAAATAAGCTAGTTAGTTATTTTCTTAACGCATCAATTGTTAGAAACCGTGTTATCAAGATGTCTCCTCAATAGTTACTCCATTCTCTTTAGTCTATGATTCATCAGGTGGGTATTTCAAGCCTACTTTAGTATGTGCAATCAATGAAGTATACTGCGTTACGAAAAAATGATAAATAGTGAAAATCCCAATGCTGAAGTTTTATTGATATATCCAGCTACTGAAAACGAAATGCATGCCTACTCAAGGACATTTACTAGAATATATCTGATATATTTAGAACTGCTTACTCCGGAAAAGAGAATATTCTGTATTGCAGAGGATTTTGAAGGCTCTTAGTAGAGCCAGTGGTGCATTAGTAACCGTAGTGAAAGATGCGGTTTTGGATAGGGACGTGAACTTTTTTAGACAGCTAGCTAAAAATAGTTTATCTAATGATAGGCGTCCTTTGCATTCGCACCTCCCTCCATATCTATCCTAAGGGAAGACAAGAAGCAAATATATTAAACTTTATACATGCACAACCACATACAGAAATACTTCCAAACGGGCATCTCGAAGTTATAATGAGAAACCGTGATCTGTGGCATGAACCAGTCCGAAGAGAAGTGGACGCCAAATGATGAAGTCGGTGGGTAGTCGCGCTATATCTCGAATTAACAGAAATTGGAAACTGTGAACCATTGAACCCTGACCCACCGGTTGAATGATTAACACGTTCTCTGCGAAACCTAAAGGTCCTAGCTGGGTCGTGGGTGGGTACGGCTTAGGAGTTGCATACTAGGACGAAACAGCTGTACAGTGCTCCCAGATTTTCGGAGATTCTCCAATTGATATCAGTCCTTGATGAATATTGTCTCGATAATATTATTCTGTGTTATACATTGTTAACCAGTACCATTGTTTATATACACTTGATAGTTGTGAGATTTTTCAAGTATCATTATCAGTACATACACCTTCACTGTTATTCCATTTCACTCCCATGATTTTATTGACTGAATTCCAGGCATCTTATTTTGGAACAAGGCTACTTTCAGCAGACAATTCTTTTCAATGATTTTTTTTATGGGTCTACAGTTATAAATCTATGAGAATAAATGAAATGCTCAGTTGGTAGAGCATCAGGCCGGAAACCCGGTGGTTCCTGGTTCGAATCCGGTCGCGGTCCAAAATTTCATTTCACCTTTAACCATCACCTAGTATAAATACAATAGTCAAAATAAGGCATAACGTGGAATTATTTAAATACTGAGATAGTCAGTGTTATGGGTAGGTGACGATCACTAGATGTTTTCAGCACGTGGAATAGTAACAAGTCTAATGTGTTAGTTGTGCAATAAAATCAATATCAAAGGAAAAACCACGACATCTAAAAACCAAAATCTTGAGGTAATATTTCATTTATATACATCACTACGAGGAATGAATATGTGTGTGTGCGTGTATGTGCGTCTGCTTATTAATGGTCATATGATCACTGTCGAACGATGAGTTATACTCAAGTTGGGTGGAAAAAAATCAGAATGCAATTGCGAACTCACACTTGAAAATCTTAGAGTTCCAATGAAAGTGTAAATCAAGTGGTATTCAGGGTGGTGTTTGGTCAGCAATAATCTTACATTTTGCGTAAGTCGTGACGATAATTTAGAGAAACCCAGATGCAAGTAATCAATGGTATAATCCTATATGATAAAAAACGGTATTTGAAATGATGTGAAAGAGGTTATTATCACTCGTAATATTATTATTTGTCCCTTGGGTTCCAACTGGAGAATACGGCTTCAGTAAAACGTCACCATTTCACTCTCTTCTCTCCAGTCCTTCCAACCTGGCTCCACCACTCCTCACAACCTTTCACTGCTTCCTCACGCCATCTCCTCCATGTCACCCTCACCTCAGACGCCCAACTCGTCGTATCCTCTTTGCCTTCCACTCGACCACCTGGCCTGACTGACCTGCCTTGTGATGTCCCCCCCCTAAACGGTCTCCTCAGTGTATGTCCAATCCAATTCATCTCCACTTTCATCTTCCACATATTTGTTGGGCGGTGGGTTGTTGGTTGGTTCGTTGCCAGCCAGCCACCCACCCAACCAGAGTTCCTTCTGCTTACTCTCATTATTCTGGTCATCTGATCTCATCTGATCTGATCTGATCTTCAGTATCGAGTGAGCGAGCGTAGGCGGCAGCTGTTGATGTGATGTATGTCTGTAGTTTGTTGGGAATGCTTTTCGTAAGGCGCCAAGTCTCTCAACCATCACGTAAAAGCAGTGACTTGACTGACATTAGTGTTGAAAATCGAGATATTGTTCACGCGTTATGCTGGGTACAGTGTAGTGTAGTGTATTGTGTTGTACTGTATTGTATTGTAGTGTATTGTAGTGTAGTGTATTGTAGTGTAGTGTAGTGTAGTGTAGTGTAGTGTAGTGTAGTGTAGTGTAGTTTAGTGTGGTGTAGTGTAGTGTAGTGTAGTGCAGTGTAGTGTAGTGTAGTGTAGTGTAGTGTAGTGTAGTGTAGTGTAGTGTAGTGTAGTGTAGCGTAGCGTAGTGTAGTGTAGTGTAGTGTAGTGTAGTGTAGTGGTGTGGAGTAGATCTCCACACTGATTATTTCAGATGAATGAAGAAATGCCTATATTACTTGCTGTTCTGATCCTGGCTTTCACATCCTCATCTGTGTCGATGCCTGTAGCTGAGACGATGGTGTCTATGTAGTAGGTGAAAGAGACGACTTGCTTTAGATTTCTCCCGTTGATGATAATTGGTGCTTGCTGTCATTATTATTATTATTATTATTATTATTATTATTATTATTATTATTATTATTATTATTATTATTGGTAGGGTATCTTCATTACCTCTGTCTTCTCTACGTTTACCTGAAGGAAGTCTTGTCTTCGCTGCCTCTCCACGCCTCTCCTGCCAACTTGTTGTTTTTCGCCTGTAGATCTTCGAGTTTGTGCGACATTAGACATAAATCATCATTGTCGAAATCCAAATCTTCTAGAGTCTTTTCATTGGTCAAACTGCGTATGCCCATTTTCTCGCTTCTCACAGTTGTCTGTTGCATGATCCAGTCAAGTCCATTCGATCACAATCAGGAAGATCGTAGGTAACATTAGACGGCAGCTTTGTCTTACTCCTGTCTTCACTTCGAAAGCTTCACTGAGCTTTCCATTGTGAATCACTTCGCATGTGCCGTAGTCATACAGTTGTTGAATGAGGAAGTAAAGGCTTTTGGCACTGAAACCGTAGTTGTGAAGCAGTTGCCTGCCAAATTTTACCTCAGTCGACACCTCGGTAGAAGGCCTTTTCAAAGTCGACGAATTTGAGGTAAGGTAGAGAGCTGACTATCATTCTATGCTGTGTTCTATGATGATGAGTAGTTTCAATTTGATGCGCACATGATTTGTTCTTCCAGAAGCCAGCCAGCCTGTTCCTGTCGTAATTTTGAATGGAAAGCATCTTCCAATCTCTCCAGTATGGTGCGGCTCAATATTTTGATTGTTTGGGGTGGACAGAGGTGGAGCATGATTCCGTGCCAGTTCTTGTGGAGACTCAGGTCTCCCTTGTTTGGGAGTTTGACAAGGTAGCCCTTCTTCCAATCAATACGCAGGCACATTTCCTTATCTCGTTTCTCACTTCATTCCTTCGAAAACGTGTGCAATAGTGGTGTGGACATGTCCGGTGTTGTTTCTGAGCCTGTTTCCAATGCTTCTGGAGAAATTCCATCTGGTCGTGCTGCTTTCCTGGATTTCAACCACTGTATGGTGTGGCGTTCAAGACTTCACTCGTGCTTTTGTCGTATGCTTTGTGTTGACTGATAGTTCTGTAGCTGAACTGGGCTGGTGGTGTTATTTCTTGACGAGTTGTATGTGTTGTTGTTGTTGGTGGTGGTGGTGGTTGTGGTGATGGTCGATTCAAGAGTTTTTTTGAAGTGGTCAGTTCATGATTTTCTTTCTTTCTCCTCCTTGGTGTTAACTAAGTTTCCCCCCCTATCTTTCGTTGATTTCATGTGTGTTGATCTCTTCACTCGCAGATAGTAACCTGGTTATTTGATATAATGTTGTCAGGTCTCTCTCTCTCTCGATCTCTATCTCTCCTACCTGCAGTCTGTTCTACTTCACTTGCAAGTGTGTTGTACAAGTGTATTTTGTGTTTGCGCGCACTCCTCTTCACTTCTCTGTCCAGTGTAGTGTTATATAGATTGTATTCACTTCCTCTTCTCATTGTTCATCCATGCACTCCTCTCCACTCCACTGCACTGCACTCCATTCCACTCAACTCCACTTCGTTTCGATAGTTCATCTTCTACTCCACCATCTTCCTCTCCCTACTCCATCAGCTTCCACGTATCCGTCGAGATCCATCCCTTCACTCGTTTCCTCTTCCTTCCTAACAACATCATGCAGCAGCAGCAGCAGTTTCCTCCCACCTCTCATTCACACAGTTCAAGTGTTCTTCCACACAGATGTTACCTGATGTCTCCACTTTTCTCCTCACATCTCATGACGTGTGATGATCTCCTTTGTAGTTTCGTCCTTCAGTTCACTTTGTCTTCTGGGTGTTCAACTTCAATGCTGGTCTACAA